CGCAAAAGAATAAAGCGGAATAAAAATGCAGAGCTTATTTAAAAGCTAAAAATCGACACGCCCGCTCAAGCCTTCATGTGTAACAAACTACGTACGTACATATAAAAGTAAATTCGGCTGCCGCGGCCGTGTGCCCGTAGTAATATTTCCGACGCTTTATTAGCGAAGCCATCGCACCAATGAAGCACTGTTACAACAACGTTTCGGACACGTGAAAACTCTTTTACTAGGAGCACAGTAGCGAAAACGAACAGAGAGGTCAGTGAAAATACAAATGGATTTTCGGGTAAAGTGGCGTCTTTACCCAAAAAATCTTAGATTGTGTTCTCGCCTATTTACCAGAAGATATCCGTCTGCTTAGATCAGCGGTCGGGGAACCGGGGTAAATTATATAATTATAAAAAAGTGCGTACGTACAAAGTACACATGCCAGAAGTGAAACTTTTTTGGCGAACTAATTTATATGTCTTGCTTATATTTATACAAATCTAAAACTTTAGATTTCTGAGACTTAGAGGAAGGGAAAAAGGAAGATATGTTCCCGCCAAAAGTCTGTCAAATGTCAATCTCAAACCTCAGTGTTGACAGTCACATTATTTTGCCAATTGAATTGACTAATTTAATTTCATGCTATTTGATTAATGTTCCAAATTCTTTTCATTTCATTTCAATTTCTATTAACATTTTTCACAAAAAAATTTTAAAATATTAGACCGTATGGTATGATACATTTGCCTTTCCAGTTGGAAAAAATACAACAACTACTACTACTGACATTTGACAAGTACTTAATTTCAATAGTAGTTTGATGTCACTTCCGTTGCATACCTGCGTGACGTTCTGTAAAAATTTTACCCTCATGCGCCTAAAGAAGTTTCACTTCAAAAATATTTGGGGTAAATAGGGTAAAATGAAATTTTGGTTGTAAAAATGAAAGTTTTGTGAGCAAAAAGTATATATTGAAGTGAAACTAATTCAGAATCGTAAAATTTTTAGTTATAGTTTTCTTTTCAAAATTAACATGGGGGCTATCATATGAAAGATACTAAAAAGAAGCGATTTCGTTTTTTTTTTGTTCTTCGCCTTCGGGTAATATCAACTTACACAAAAATATTTTGGGGTAATAATTAAAATAGTTCCCCGACCGCTGGTTTAGATGCAACCACTCTAAGAACGAACCGTCTAGAAGCTATCAGTATATTTAGTATTTCTATCACAGAGTAGTCATGCGATTCGAAGAGTAGAGAGAAACAGCGGTTTTGATAACCACATTAGTGAAACTTCGACTTTATGTTTGCAAGTGGGTAGCGGAACTTATGATCTCATCACGGTGGTAGGTCTGCGAAGCACTGCTCTTGCTAGGGCTAGTGTTAGCAAATTCTCTTTGGTTGAGCCCGTGATCTCGCCTACCCATCCTACGTCGTAACTGGAATAGCGCCTTAAGCTACTAGTGAAAAGGGAAGAAAAAAGAGATCTCAGTGTGTTGGGGGAACTTAATCGGAGTTAGTCCGTAGATCGTCTACCTATGAATAAAAAAAAGGAATAAAAAAAGCCATATAACAGAACAAAAAGGTGCCGAATAGTTAAATAAATACTATATATTTTTGGTGAACGTTTGTCAGATTCGAACGTATAATTGTGATTCCGATATTTTGCGCGGTAGGTAGCGGCTTAGCTCCGCTCTGCTTCTAGTATTGCTGACGTCCATGGGTGACTGTAACCACTCACCATCAGGCCGCATGTTCTTCTGCCTATAAGGGCAATAAAAAATGAAGATACCTTAGAATTTCTGGGTTCTGTCTCGGGGATCGACGTAGATTCCGCTCTTCACATACCATCCCGTATGCTCAACATAATAATATTATGTATATTATGTAGATATGTGTAGGTATACGACAAAGGGAAGATCTTCCACCGAGCGGGTGATATTTGCTCGGTAGACCGAGGGTCCAAATGTTGTTTTTTTTTTCCTACCTAAGCTGATAGCCTTGAGAGGCTATTTCAGCGTAACCGTGGCTAGTAGGTGAGCTCACGGGGCTCAAACCTGATGACGTTGCTAACACGAACCCTAGCAAGAGCCGTGCTTCGCAGAATCTACCACCGGATCGGAAACGCGACCCACTGAGAAGATCCGGCGAGAAACTCAGTGGGCTGTGTCTGAGGGTTAATTTACTCGTCGAGCCCTTCGTCGTAAGCGACGGGTTCGACGAGAACGGTGACCGGTGCTTGAAGTACCTAGAAGTTAGTGGATCGGGAGGATCCGAGATGATGTGTTTTGGGCGACGTCGACTGCTTTCCATTCTGTCCGTAGGATCGGGAATGTAGTTACCGGCGGCCACGATGAGAGGGTTCTCGTGTCGTGCCGCTTTATCGAAGTGGCCCAAATGTTGTTGTACGGAACTTGTATATATGCAAGCTTATCTTGAAAATGTCGTAAGCGAGATTCAGGCATCTGTCAAATATCTTGCGTTGTATGATGGCTACCAGCCACATACATATATATTCGTGACAACAGAACAATCTGTATTCATTATTTTGTGCTCGTTAATGACGAATCGTAATTTTGAAAGCCGCCCGACTTTATTTGAAGTCCGCACTTCAGTTACGTTCAACGTAAATGCTTGATGCCATTTTTAAATATTTCAACTACTTTTTTTAACTATACTATTAAATCAAGTTTGATTAGCTATCTAGTGGTTCGGACTGTACTACGCCTACTCTAGCTTCGATTCTTAATCAAACACAGCATCTTTGTTCGAAATATTTAATATTTGGAGGAATCATCGTGTAATAAAACAACGAAAGTATTATTTAAGTAGGAGTATTTGTATCTATAAATATTATGTATGTTATATATACACATATGTTTAAGTAATATCACTATTACACTAATAAAGATAAATTGGAAAAAATCATGTCAAAATCTTCTGCTTCTTTTCAGTCAACGAGTTCTTCACGTGTTTCGCTACCAAAACTACTTTTTTTTTGCTTAAATGGGTGGATGATCTCACTGCCCACCTGGTGTTAAGTGGTTACTGGAGCCCATAAACATCTACAACGTAAATGCGCCACACACCTTGAAATATAAGTTCTAAGGTCTTAGTATAGTTACAACGGCTGCCCCACCCTTCAAACCGAAACGCATTACTGCTTCACGGTAGAAACAGAAGGGGCGGTGGTACCTACCCGTGCGGACTCACATAAGATCCTACCACCAGTAATTACGCAAATTATAATGTTGCGGGTTTCATTTTTATTACACGATGTTATTCCTTCACCGTGGAAATCAATCGTGAACATTCGTTGAGTACGTATTTCATTAGAAAAATTGGTACCCGCCTGAGATTCGAACACCGGTGCATCGCTAGATACGAATGCACCGGACGTCTTATCCTTTAGGCCACGACGACTTCAAATACACACATATACACATATGTTTAAGTAATATCACTATCACACTACACCTACCAAGGTTCATCTCTGCACCCCCCTAAGGTAGACTGTCAGAGAATGCCTATGGCATTAAGTCCGCCTTTATACTGTCTAGGATAAAAAATTACAAAAAAAAAAAATGCGTGGCGTCGTTTTAATTCAGTTTCCAGCAGTGGTTTGTTCAGGTTTGAAGGCGGAACAGCTGCTATACAACAAAACACCTTCTTATCTAAAGGTAGGTTGGGGGCATTCATAATTCAGTGCTAAGAATTGAACCCCTAAGATCTAGCTCCTTCTACGCAACTGGTGCAGTAAGACTACATATCATGGTCGGTCTCAAATCGATCTGACTGAATACTCTAATTAAATAAATAATAGTTAAAAATACTAACAAAATACGCTTTTATAGAAAATCCAACTAAAGAATATAAAATAAATTTGATTCAAAAATAGTATAAGAAAAATGATTTTATTGTAAAAAATGCGTGAGGTGCTTTTTAGGATATTAGCAAAATGACCCTTCTACTCATATCTGTTCATAAAATATTTATAACTACTGATACCATACACTACTTCTTCTTACACTATTTTTAATTCAAATTTATTAAAATTTAATTTCTATTTTTTTATTGGATTTTCTACAAAAGCGTATTTTGTTAGTATTTTTAAACTATTATTTATTTAAAATTTGTAGAATCAATTTTTTCAATTTTGTTTTTAATATTGAATTGTCATCGGTCCTTAATAAGTATACCAAATTTTGAGTTAATCCTACGTTTTGAAAGGGGTCAAAATCATGTTCAAAGACTCCGTTACAAACATACATATGTCTGAAGCTAATAAAAGCGTATTAATAAAAAGAATTGGATCGTAAATAGCCAAAAAACAAAGCTTAAGAAAGTCGGTGCCCTCAAATTCGAAAAGTCGGAATTAATTAAACCCCTTTTCATAAATTACTATCGTTCGTTTGCGGGAGTGGAGCAGTCCTGTGAAAGTTGGACGGTTTTTTTTCTTTTTTTTTTAAATAACTTCGTCGATTAAACTTCAGTAAAGAATCGTAATGAGTTATTGTTTGATGAACAATTGAGTGCTTTGAAGGGTCTATTTAGGTAAATTGGAAAAAATCATGTCAAAATCTTCTGCTTCTTTTCAGTCAATGAGTTCTTTACGCGTTTCGCTATCAAAACAACTTTTTTTCTTTGCTTAAATGGGTGGAAGATCTCGCTGCCCACCTGGTGTTAAGTGATTACTGGAGCCCATAAAAATCTACAGCGTAAATGCGCCACCCACCTTGAGATATAAGTTCTAAGGTCTCAGTATAGTTAGAACGGCTGCCCCACCCTTCAAACCGAAACGCATTACTACTTCACGGCAGAAATAGGCAGGGTGGTGGTACCTACCCGTGCGGACTCAAGAGGTCCTAGCACCTTATTATACTAAGCTCCATTAACATATTGGAGAAATGTGCAATTTTTGTTTCGATTTTGGGGAAAGATACATTACTCGCTGTAAGGTCCCCTGACCTTATCGGCTTGCTTCCCTGAAAACTATAAAACCAAATCACTCACCGACGATAGGCTCCAAATCGTATCCATCACTCGAGATCACAGTTATGTTGTGTCCGTCCACAGACAGCTCTATAGGGCAGTTCAGGAACTCAGCGTTGATCACGCGAAACCGGTATCTGTATCCCTGTAGAATAAGGACTGGTTTCGTTTAACATTTCTAGTTTTAGGGCTGGTTTTTATTTTACTAGGAACTGATGTTATGAGGTTATTGAACTCCACGGACAAAACTATTTGATTGAGAAACAGATTCAATTCGGTTGGACGGAATTACGACTCTTCAAGCCCATCTATACGCGTTATCCCCTCACACCAGAAATGGACAAATCGGTAATGCTCACTCACATTGCGTGGGCTTGGTACATAGGGCCTTATCAAAGTCTTAAGAAGAATCTCATTGCCACAACGAATATCATGAGTGCTCATAACGTAGGTTCAATTCTTTATTCACAACTGATGCGTTGTTTTTGATATTTGAGCTGTTCTTAACTGTGACTCTTCTGTGCTTCGAGCTAAGAGTAATTTCAGCTTCCAGAAGTTAGAATCTAAGCTGCGGCGTGTTTGGTACTCTTATGATTCATTTCATCACGGGATCCACAACCAATCAGATTCCCTACCTGATTTGAACGATGAGGTTCAGGTACTGACCTACTACGAGTACCTGAACCTCATCGTTCAAAGTTTTTTGTCGCCACTGTAAGCTTTTTCTACGTAGAACTAACTGTGATGGATGTGAAAATATTTTGTGAAAATATTTTGAGAAAAAACAAAAAAAAAAAGCCCGCTGAGTTTGTTTCGCCGGTTCTTCTCAGGACTGTGGCTTTTTTTGGAACCGGTGGTAGAGTTAACATTGTTATTTGTATTTTGACATTCAACAAGTGTGTCATACTGACATCTAAGTTGAAATAAATTATTTTGAATTTGAATTTGTCAGTAGCAGGGTAATAACGTTAAAACGCCATACCATTAATTCTTAAGTCTAAGCTTGGTATTTACCATATAGCCTAAATAAGCATTAAGTACTGTAATCTCACTTAGCAAATAAAGTTTAATATGCCATATTAAGACATAGCGTTCAAAAGTGTGGTATAATACCTGTTCGACATTGAACCTCGCCGCTTTCATATATAAAGGCTTCTCAGTGTCGTTGTTGAAGACCCTGAACCTTCCTACTCCGTTGATGAGGAGGGTCGGAGGTTTGTTGTCGCCGGAGGAGTGGTGGTGGTCCGTAAACATCCCAACTGAGAGCTCGTGGATCCAATCCGTCACTATCATCACGTGATCGGTTCTAAAAATAAATAAACAATACTTTTTTAATGTCAAAACGTCTTTAGTCAAAGGGCAATTTTGAATTTACTGGTGACTTGCGAATGTCAACAATCCCAAACTGACGCCACTGACAAATAAAATCAGAGTCACAAAGATTGTAAATAGGCGTACGTAGCGTAAAATGCGAACACACGAGTAATTTGCAACACCCTGCCTATTTTTGCGACGAAACATGAGAAAGAAATAAGAACAACTGTTAGTATATAGCATTTGAGGTTTCGCTGTTTTCATGTCTTCAGGTGAGTACGAAATTCACGACATGGTGGCCTCGAGGTCTAGTATCACGGTCCATTTAATATCAGGAATCAATCGAAGGCCATAGACACCACATAAAGCACCCACCCATCCCACCAGGTTGGCAGCCTCCTTCAATTCTCACCTGTCATAATCATACAGATGTCCATGAGGATCCTGTGACTTAGGTTTCCTGACTATAAAAGCACCAGCCGCTCCATCAGCCCGCTGCATGCCAGAGTGTGAGTGCCAGAAATGTGTGCCGGTATGTGTCGCGTTAAATTGGTATCTGAAATTGAATTTTTAATTCGTCAAACTAAAAATAAAGATTAAAACTTGGTAAAGTCTCTTGGCTTTTAGGGCTTTAAAAGAATTGGCCGATATTGTAGAACCCTATATCTCAAGACGGGCAACGATATTTAGATTAAAACTTGAATAAGATTTCTATTTTACGTTGACTTTAGTCCTACACAATTGTATTTAGTTCTTCTTCTTTTTTATCCATTTCGCTTTGTTCCAAGCTTCGTATTCCAAATCACGGAAACTTACGAGAACTTTTTCAACAACTTATTCCTACTTGTATATTATAACGAAGCTGTCTACTCGTATAACAGCCAAACTATTTTCAGACTACTACATAAGGATACTGGGGCTTACCTAAACGTTGTTTCGGGAGGTATTGGACACTGGGTGACATACGGCGTCCCGTCCATGTAAGGAGTACCTTTCTGATGTTGGCCATGCCAGTGCACTGTTGTTCCTTCCGTCATTAGGTCATTTTCGACGTCCACTATTACTCTATCATGTTGGCAGACCTAAAATGGAACAAAAAGTATGAGTGTTTAGTTAGGTGTGCCTGATCCTATGCAACTAGGAACCTATAATAGCGATTACGATTGGTACAGAGGTTTAAAATTTATCCGTTTGTAAAAGGAAGGTAGATGAAGAATTTGTAGAAGCTAATGGTCTACTGGCAAAGTGGACAGGAAAAGACCACGAGGTAGAGGCCCGATACGTTGAACTGACCAGATCCGCACTACTCTCGACACCACACGATGCTCTTCACTCAACAACAGATAGGAACAAATGGCGTAGAGTGATCCACAATAAACTCTTGTTGCGAGGAGGTGGTCACGACTCAGCATCGAGGAAGCCGAAGTTAGAAGGATGAGGAGGAAGGTAATTAAACTTCGATAGCAAATATTCTAACTGATTATTATAGTACAGTTTACCCTAGTGAATAAACAAAAAACACTAAAAATGGCTTCCTTTGAAATACTTGCAAAAACAGTTCTGCAGATGACTCTAATACTATAACGTTTTATAAGCAAAACTTTGTCTGGTTACGACTACAAATACACAGTTTTGCAATAAAACGAAGTGATCTACAAAACGCAGAGGAAATTTTGCAAACGAGTTCTGAAGTTGGTGCAAAACTGCCAACCTAAATGTACAGTTTCAATGTTGCTAAAGTTATTCGAGACGTTTACAAGTTTATTGTTTGGAGCGATCGTATACGAGCCGCTTGTGGCGCACATTAAAATCGATATAGCATTTTTATGTGCTGATGTGAATGAAACAAATACAAAACATTATCGCAAACTTATCTCAATACGTCTTTGAAAACTATTTTCAAACTGATTTACCTATTTTAGAGATTAAGATGACATAATCGAAGCTGAAAACTGAGTGTCCCAAAATTAATATACCCGATTCTATTTAAACAGCAAAATCGATTATTTTATTAAAAGCATAAATTCGCAAGATAACGACCCGCAGTTTCAGCACTGGTTGAAAAATAAAGCAATAGATTATATTAAATCACTATCACTGCATAGTATAAAACAAAGTCGCTTTCTCTGTCCCTATATCCCTCTGTATGCTTAAATCTTTAAAACTACGCAACGGATTTTGATGCGGTTTTTTTTAATAGATAGAGTGATTGAAGTGGAAGGTTTATATGTATAATAACATCCATAAAATAGCGGAGAAATCAATAATAAATTACAGTTTCCGAAGCGAAGCGAGGGCGGGTCGCTAGCTAGAATTATAATTCAACTAGCTGACCCGGCAAACGTTGTTTTGCCATCTAGAAGATTTCTAGGGAATTTCTAGTGTAAAAAAAAAACTAACTTATTGTAAGCGTGTAAGGATGTGGTAGATGAGTGAAAGAGGCATGAAGCACTGTGAACGATGAAGGAATATAAAAATAACAATACCTCATTCAACCACATAATGTCTCATTATAACAAAAAAAAAATTGTCCAAAAAATAAAAAAATAATCTTAGGGGTGGACAACCCTTATTCCCGAGGGACCTGGGCGGGCCCCCCGGCGCGCACTCTGCGTGGCCGGGGGCTCCGTCTGTGGGGGAGTTTTGCTGGACTTCCACCGGGCGCGTCCGTAGGTGGCGGATAACGGGATCCTCTGGGAACAGTCCCACTCCCAGGGGTATCGTCCGATCTTTTTCGTTGCAAGGATTTCTAGGTGTTAGGTAGGTAGGCTAGGTGTAGNGACCTCGGAGGGGATCGGACGTCGGGTGTAAGAGTGCAGAGGAGTCGTTTAGTGGGTGGGCTCTAAAATCCTTGGGCCCGCGGTCTGCTCACAACACCATGCAGATCGTTGAGTCTCACATACCCCGCGCGCCCCTTTTGCGCGGGGACCTCGTAGGAGGTTCGGCCCTCTACCCGAAAAAAAAAAAAAAAAAAAAAAAAATGGACAACCCTTATCACTTAAGGGTATGAAAAATAGATAGTAGCCGATTTTCAGGCTTACTGAATATGCATAAAAAATTTCATAAGAATCGGTCAAGCGGCTTCGGAGGAGTATGGGAACGAACATTGTGACACGAGAATTTTATATATTAGAAGATATTCACCTCAATAGCGGGTCCCGGCATCTTCCTGTTGATCACATTCAAAGGCCTATTCATGCCATCAGCTGGAATACAATCAGGTCGAAAACAGTCCGTTTCGTTGAAGGGACAATTAAAACACGCTTTACTCATGGTCTGGTACCACTCCAAGTTGAAATGGTAATAGCAAACCATTGGATCTTCGCCTTCCTTACATTCTCTTTCACAGGGATGCGGTGCGTCCATCACCTCACCCGTTACTTCGTCATATCTAACATGAGCTCTTATATTATTAATCTTTTTCGTTATTTTATTCCTTAACAATTTGGCCAATTCATGATCTAATTTTTCAACTGGATGCTTTATGGGTTCCGTTTTATTCTTCTTTCCGTTGATAACGATTTCGTTCACAGGATTTCTGTTTCTCAATGGCATTATTACTTTTGACGCACTCTCCGGGATCTCAGCTGGCTTTATGTCTTGTAGTAACGGTTCTATTTTGTGTATTATTGCATCGTCAAGCGTTTTTCTTGATTGTCTTACTTTGATGTCGTCTGCGTAACTGTGATCCGTTGTTGTTGTTGTCTCAAATGCTTCCGTTGTCGTCTGATGTTCTATTTCTGTCTGTGTTTTTATTCCGGATAAATCTGGGAACAATTATTTTTATTTCTACATTAGTCAAAAAAATGGCGCCATAACTTATATAAGTATAAATTTGACAAATACTTGCTATTTAATTTTACTATGTTTATGAAAAAAAAATGTTATAGAATTAAATAACGACATAAGAAAAGTGGCAGGCGTCACGTGGAACAGCTCAAGAAAGACATGGGTGGAAAAGGTTGGAGGAGGCCATTGTCGATTGGCAAACAGATCTGCAGAAAATAAGAAAAATTCAAATAATAGGCTAGATTTAAATAAAATTCAAGTTTTCTATATATTATATTTAGTCATATAGTTGTAATATGGATCTGAATAAAAGGCTATATTATTATTATTATTATTATGAAAAATCAGGCATACTAATAATTTTATTGCGAGCGAACACAATTTTAGAGCAAAAGCCTAAGATTCGGTCATAAAAATCTACTAATAAATTGCTATGATGGAAATAAAAGGAGTTTCTAAATTGTATTGGCCCTTCATCAGTGGAAAACAGTATCCTTATCTATTGGCATATATATACCTTATCTGACAGAATAGGTAAAGGCGGAACGGTTCGACTTTAATTAATTCTAATTTAAAGAAAACAGTTTATACATTTATTTAAAGTTACTATTATTATTATTATTATTATTGCTTAGACGTGTGGACGAGCTCACAGCCCACCTGGTGTTAAGTGGTTACTGGAGCCCATAGACATCTACTACGTAAATGCGCCACACACCTTGAGATATAAGTTCTAAGGTCTCAGTATAGTCACAACGGCTGCCCCACCCTTCAAACCGCATTACTGCTTCACGGCAGAAATAAGCGGGGCGGTGGTACCTACCCGTGCGAACTCACAAGAGGTCCTACCACCAGTAAAAATATTAATGCTCATTATCTTGGAAAATGAATCAGAAATAGTCCAAAAAGCGTCATATATAATTAATACATCATAAATAATAAAAGCCTAATAACATTTGCCGCTAGGGGCGCTGTTCCAACTGCATACAAATTTGAGTTAACTTTTACGCTATCGAGAACGTTAACGAAATTCGCACTAAGCACACTAAAGTGTCAATAGTATTTCAATGACTCATTAAAACAGCACAAGCGGAATACTCATTAACTTGAAAAATAAATCAAAAATTTTGAAAATAGTCCTAAAAAGTCTTTAAAATTATATGAAGTAATTAATTTACGCCTAAAAACAGAGTTTTATTAGACTTTATCTCTTGTTTTAATTAAAATATTTTCTATTCTTTCAAATGTTTGTTATCAGATTTACGCTCATAAACCAAAAACCTCGCAGTGACGTCAATGCGTTGTACTAAATTAAGATAGTAAATTGTTTTAGGTGAAAAGACCTAAGTGGTAATCATCTGAGAAACCTGGTTTCTTGAGAAGAAAGTACATATATAATTCCGTACATAGTAATTTGCTAATATTTAATTATTTTTTTTAAATTAAAAGTTATTAAGTGATTTCGAACCATAATTTCATTGTCCTTATAATTTTTGATCCACACTACTTTACTATAAATTGATTAGTTCACCTATATCTTACTTTGAAATATTTAGTTTGCTCATCTTATTCTACTAACCACAAAATTATGTAGTTATTTCGAAGCCAATATTTCATTGTGTCTCTATTATCTTCCATTAGCTACTGCGCAACCACTGCTAACAATGGCTTCAACCTCAAATATCCAAATTGACCTTAACCTTGAATTTGTTTAAAGCATAACACTTTTTACTTTCCACTCAATTACTATCGCTTGATATTCATTGTGATGATCTATAAATTGTTTTTGACGTGACAACGTCTTATAATTCGATGGAGCCGGCTGCACGCACGAAAAAACATGACTCCTGCGGCGTTACCTCACTCTGAGGCATTCCATTTAAGGCTTGAAGTGCAAGCGAGAGTGCGCAAAGAGCGACAAAGAGTCACATTGTAAAAAAAAATAGTGATTTCCATTTACCTCCTTCTCTATATCCATACAAAATATCTACCAAACAAAAAAAAATCTTTTGAAAAATGAAACCATTCCATCACTATTTTTTTATGACGTTGTCACGTTCAACTATCGTCAGTAAACCGACTTTACAGACAAACGATTTTTTTACAGCTACTAATTTTGCTTAACCTTGAAACAAATTCGTAAAATTACGAACAAACAATTCATCATTAAAATAAGTTCCTGTTGAAATTACGAGATCGATTGAGATCACTCCCGGATTTCGTTCGCACTAGACTTCAATACAGCGGGTGAAGAACGTTTTAACAATTTAATTTTTTTTATAACATAGTATTAGATATAAACTAGAGGTCCCGCAGTAGTCGAAATTCGACTATAATTAATTGAAATTGTAAGCTTGTACACTATTATTATTGTATTTTATACTTCTATAATCACAAATTTCGCCAAGACTACACTATAAAAAATATTAACTAAGACAAACAATATTTAATCTATTCTCAATTTGACAACAGACGTCAAGAACAAAAGTTTGACAATAAATAAATAGTATGCATGCGTGTGTGCGTCAAATACATGGTATGTAGTGTATGTAATGTTTTCTTTATTGATTTAATGTATCTTTTATGCATTACTTTAAAAAAATATTAGCATTGTGCACTTCTTCTCTATATTCTTTATAAGTGTGGAAAATTTCATACTCCTCCGTACGCGCAATTTTCGTAAAAAGGGATACAAAGCTTTTGCTTCACGTATTAATATATAGATAAGATTTAACGACTATTTCGAGGGGTTCTGACATGTGACATTTCACTTAATACGCGACATTTATCTTTATAATTAAATAAGTATTTTATTTGGTATTTAGCATCAAGAGTTCAATGCCTTGATTGATCCTCAATTAAGTTTCCCCATTCAAATAGCTGAAGAAGTTTTTTTGTTATGATATTTTTTCCATATTTTAAACGTTAAACGGCTCTTCTCCCACGGAGTTTCTCGCTGTCCACTGAGTTTCTCGTTCCCCACTAAGTTTCTCGTCGGATCTTCTCAGTGGGTCGAGTTTCCGATCCGGTGGTAGATTCCGCGAATCACTGCTCTTACTAGAGCCAGTGTTAGCAACACTCCCGGTTTGAGCCCCGTGAGCTCACCTACTCGCCTGTCTACGCTGACATAGCCTCTCAAGGCTATCAGCTTAGGTACAAAAACAAAAGACAATCCAAGCATTTTTTTGCTAATTTGTTGGGAAACAATCTACAGATATCCGTTAGCAATCTTATCTAATTCTGTAACATATCCTGTGTACTAAGTTCATTCCCCAATAAAATTATTCATTTAAAAGTCATCGTTATTCTGCTCTCGTGCGAACAAAACTATCGTCTTAACAACCCGCCAAATCCAGTCGAATGTAATCAACAAAAAACACACAAAAGCCTTATTCTTAGAGCAGTGAAAAACGATTCTCGAGCGCTTAACGATTTTTAGTACAAATAATGATGTCATAGGAAATCACGTGTCATTGCAATAGTGCAGGTAATCAATACGATACAATATGATTCGTGTCCAACTGTTTTTTTCTTTTCTTTCTTTTCCGACTGATGAAGTGATCACGAAATGAATATTAATAATAAAAGCATCACCAACAATCTCAGGTATATCTATTTTAGATCTTCAATAAAAAATAGTGAATGAAGATAATGAAGCCGTCGTGGCCTAAAGGATAAGACGTCCGGTGCATTCGTGTCGAGCGATGCAACGGCGTTTGAATCCCGCAGGCGGGTACCAATTTTAATGAAATACGAACTTAACAAATGTTCACAAGAATAACATCGTGTAATAAAAAACCCGCATTATAATTTGCGTAATTACTGATGGTAGGACCGCTTGTGAGTCCGCACGGGTACCACTACCCTGTCCATTTCTGCCGTGAAGCAGTAATGCGTTTCGGTTTGAAGGGTGGGGAAGCTGTTGCAACTACGAGTATACTGAAACCTTACAACTGATATGCTCAAGGTGAGTGGCGGCATTTACGTTGTAGATGTCTATGGGCTCCGGTAAGCATTTAACACCAGGTGAGCTGTGAGCTCGTCCATCCATCTACATAATAAAAAATAAAATAGAAAACAAAAAAATATCTACCGGTGGAGGTGATTAGATGAATCCACAACCGGATCGGAATTGGCATCCACTGAAGAAATTCGATATAGATTAAATTGGTCTTTAATTATTATGCGTAATTAGATTTCTTTATAATACAAACATTTTCCATCTCCGATTCTACGATTTGAAGAACTCTAATGAAAACCGCCACGAATAGGGCCAAGAACAATTTCAAGGCATTACCTACTTACATACATAATAAAAGAAATTAGTGCACTTTTGATAACAAAAAATTTAAACGGAATAATAATTATTAGATATCTTCTCTTAGTGGCGCAGCATTTACAACAAATACTCTACTTAAACTGATGTAGTGAAAAATTCTTTTTTGTATTATCAGTAAGGACCTAAAACAAAAATATTGAAGCAATCTCGACTATCTTGATCCTCTGAGCTCCTAGGCGATTGTGACATCAATAAATGTTGAGTCTGAGGCCCTATTAAGGGAGAGTGTTGACAGCGGTACGGTTATAAAGTAAAAAGGTAGCCCGGACGCGTTCTAGGCGATAGCGGGTACCAAGATGCAGTGAGAGGATTCAAATCCCGCTGAGTTTCTCGCCGTATCTTCTCAGTGGGTCGTGTTTCCGATCCGGTGGTAGATTCTGCGAAGCACTGCTCTTGCTAGGGCTAGTGTTAGCAACGACCCCGGTTAGAACCCCGAGAGGGAGTAAGGAAAAAAGTGAGAGGGGGGTAACTTTTTTTCTTATTGCTTAGATGGGTGAACGAGCTCACAGCCCACCTGGTGCTAAGTGGTTACTAGAGCCCATAGACATCTACAGCGTAAATGCGCCACCCACCTTGAGATATAATTTCTAAGGTCTCAGTATAGTTATATCGGCTGCCCCACCCTTCAAACCTAAACTC